ATTTTAGAAGAATCGCTTTTACCAGTGATGGAAGAATGTTTGACATCCGGCCAAGATTTTGTGTTTCAGCAAGATGGTGCAGCGTACCATACCTAAGGCTATAAAATGGTTGGAAGAAAATAATGTACCACTTTTGAAATGGGTTTCTAGCAGTCCAGATCTTTCACCTATTAAAACTTTGTGTCACGAAATCAAAAAGGTTCTACGACAACATCCTGCTCGTACAATCACCGAACTGAGACAACAGCTTCAAGAAATATGGGATTGTTTTATACCAAATTTTTACCAAAACTTGGCACTATGCCCCGAAGAATTTCAGCCGTAATAAAAAATAAAGGTGATGTTACCCAATGGTAATCTTTCAATTGTTGCTTTGTTAACTTCGCGCATTTATTCGCACATTGTTTATTTGTTCAGACGTTCTATTAGTTATAGGTCTAAGTGATTTCAAATATGTATTTTTTACGACTAGAGTGTATCTAAAATGTTTTTGAGAAAATAAATTGTTTGAGAAGTAAATAGTTTCGTCATGTCATTGTTTATGAGGGCATATTTTGGTACAAATCTTGAAGTGGGCTAACTGAAGTGGGAAGGGGCTCGTACAACCTCCGATTTCTAACCTTTACAAATATTTTTCTAAAAATGATCGGAAGCCTCTGAAACATCAAAAAACGAAGTTTGAGCTATTTTTACTTTTTGCCCCTAGCCCCGCCGCCATTGAGTCCATTTTCAGAAATCACAACCTTTTTCGTCCTTGCCATATTAGTAACATTTTGTGAAAATTCCATCAACATCCGAGCGGCACTTCCTAAGTTAATGACGTGCCAACGATTAGCGGACAGACCGACAGACAGGCAGACTGACCGTCGATAATAGTAGTAGGCGTGGGAAGTAAGAACTTTTCAAGATATTGGACCGAGAATTTTATCACTGTCATCAGTTTATGTTCCGCTTAAATTAGCCCATCTTAGAAAAGAGTCAGTTATAAACATGTATAACAAAGAGCTTCAATGGGTCACATCATAGATAGATAGATAGATAGATAGATGGATCTTTATTTCCAACAGGTACAATCACCCAATTACAGGAAATAGTTCAAAAAGAAAACAAGAGCAACACATAATCCTAGTATATGAAAAAAACACAATCAAATTAATAATACAGCTAGATCAAAAAGCCAAAATATTAAAAAAAAAGAATAACTCTAACCGCAAAAAGGTCATTACATGCCATGGGAAATGGCCAGATAACGTTGTTTAAAGTCATTTCTAGATGAAGTATTCACATCACAATATTCACCTAAAGAATTGAAGTTCTCATACATAACCGTGACCGGCGATTTTCTCGAGATATTTGTTCGAGCTAATTCGCAGTAAAATGTCATGTGGTGACGCAAATTGCGCACAGGTACATGAAAGTTAAGCTTACTTAATATATATTCACATATGACATCATTGTGCAAAACATCATAAAGAAAATTTAAACTACTTTTAACTCTCCTACTATTTAGCGACATATAGTCAACTGTATTCATGAGTACAGAATAATCACATCCTCTCTCCGGATATTCGCCTGTCCACTTGAAATGCAGAAATTTCAAAAACTTTCTTTGTATTCGCTCAATACCGCTTATATGAACCGAATAGATGGGATACCAAATTAAAGAACAACTTTCCAATTTAGATCGAACGTACGAAGAATAAAGAAGTTTCAGAAACATGTAAATTGGAAAATTGTCTACTGTTTCGGATGATGAAGCCCAACATTCGGTTGGCTGATGTTGTGATATCATTTATATGATCACAAAATGACAAATTGCTATCAAAGAGAACACCGATATCTTTAATTTGATAGCACCTATTCAACTCATTCTCGCTTATTTTGTAGGATCATGTTATTGGTTCTTTCTTTCTGGTGTACGTTAATATGAAGCATTTATCTACATTAACTTCAAAATGATTAGCATTACACCAATCCAAGACAAGGTCAATGTTGCTTTGTAAAATTTGGCAGTCCGAATTTGAGCATATGTTATGAAAAATTTTGAGGTCATCCGCATGGAGCAACTTTTGGCATGTAATCATCATAGCTACGTCGTTTATATATAACAAAAACAACAGAGGTCCTAAATTCGATCCTTGGGGAATCCCAAATGTTGGCGAGAAAATATCAGAGCGGTGCCCTTAGAAGATCCAAATCCCTGTAATTTTTTCATTAAAATGTATAGTCTACTCGGTCAAATGCCTTCTGTAAATCCATGTAAACTACATCCGTCTATCCTCTGCTATCAAGGTTTTCACTGATGGATTGAGTAATACATACCAGATTTAACGTACAAGATTTTTTGTCTTGGAAGCCATGCTGTTCTGCTACAATTAGGTTTTCAGTGTGAATACAAACCACTTCATAAACAATAATTTCAAATAGCTTTGAAAAGTTGGATACTGCAACGATTGGGCGGTAATTTTTAATTAAAGCTCTATAACTCTTCTTCAGCACCGGGGTAACTCTGGATATCTTCCAATTGTCTGGAAAGATGCCCGTCTTCAAAATAATGTTGAACAGATGTATTAATGGTCTGAGAAGCGCATTTATGCAATCCTTCACTAAGAAGCTGGGTATTTGATCAGGGCCTATAATCAACTTATTTTTTAACTTTTTCGCCGCTTTAAGAACATCAGCTTCACATATTTGAGGTAAATCTATAAACAAGGAGTTTCCATAATCCAGGATTACATTTTCACTAAGGTTTTGATCAGGAGGTGTATAAACTGTCGGAAAATACTGTTTAAATGAGTCAACAATATCTTGGGGTTTTTCATTATATTTCATCATACCTGGTAAACGGGATTTTCCTTTTTTACTGTGGATAAAATTCCAAAACTGAAAAGGATCTGATAAAATATTGTTTTCAGCTGCCAAAATAAAATTACGATATTCGTTGTCAGCTTGAGTTTTTATCGTCCTTCTTAAAGAATCAAATCTTGTACGAGATGCTTCATCTCCATATCTCATCCGGCCCATGCCCATGCAATTAGTATCCAGTCCCCTCAGAATCTGACTGCCTTTGGCATCGTTTAATATTCAATATTAAAAATTGTCTGTGCGTTATCCCCCGCCCTTCAAAAAATTTTCTGGCCTCATAATAATATTACCTACCAGTAGTCCATCTATAAACGTCGCCTCTCTCCGATACTTAACCTGATGAGACCTGGCAGCGCGGTCAGAGCATGGAAAAAATTATAATGTGTGTATGCTCACTACAACCCCCACCCTCAATTTTTTATCTCTGATTTTTTTCAAAAATTATCAGTATACTCTGAAACGTCAAAAAACGAAGTTTGGGCGATTTCTTCTATTTCGTTTTTGGCCTCTGTCGCCACTGGACCAATTTTCAAAAACTACAAAACTTTTGCGTTCTGGCATAGTAGTATCATTGTTAAAAATTCTCTTATCAAGTTATAGGCGGTTATAAGATAAGCGGACAGACCGACAGACATACCGGGTAACTGAATGACACGCTTTTTCGTGATATACTATGTCATATAACATCCAAAACACCGTAATATCTCATTCGAAAGTTATCGCAATACAATACTTTCCAGCCAGTAGGCTTGGGAATCCCCGTCCTTCTAAGCAGGGGTGATCGTATTACCCCTAAATATCGCTTGAACCGCAAGTTTATTGTGGAGTATCCAACGAGGGAGGAGTGGGACGCCGGTAGCCTCCGGAGTGAGCGGGCAGGTCTGGTACACGGACGGTTCGGTCACCGAAGAGGGCTCAGGTGCTGGGGTCTCTGGGCCTTGAACTAGGCTATCTCTGCCTCTCGGTGGATACACCACCATTTTCCAGGCGGAAATCTTTGCGATTCTGGCTTGTGTATCTCACATTCTGGAGCAGGGTGGGCCTAAGAGAAGGATAACAATCTTATCCGACAGCCAGGCTGCAATGAAAGCACTAAGTGCCTGTAAGATTACTTCGAGTCTTGTATTGCAATGCAGGGAGGCTCTGGATTCCCTCGCAGCGAGACATCCGGTATCGTTAATATGGGTACCGGGGCACGCTGGGATAAGGGGCAATGAGACGGCGGAGACTCTGGCGAAGACAGGATCAGCCAGCAAGCTCGTTGGTCCTGAGCCAGCTCTAGGAGTGACCGCGCATAAAGCTAGGAGGAAAATGGAGACATGGGTTGCAAGACGACACTCTCAGAAATGGATAAGTATCTCCAGACATCTCCGCCAGGCACGAGAACTCATTGAAGGGCCCAGTGCTAAGGATGGACGCTTCTGCCTATCTCTGGATAGAACCAACCTAAGGTTGCTGGTGGGACTGTTGCCTCTCCATAACACGTTAAGGCGTCACCTGCACATGATGGGGGTGGCTGAGGATCCCTTGTGTGAACGCTGCGGAGTAGAGGAAGAGACCTCGGCGCACGTTTTGTGTCGCTGTGGAGCAGCTCTGAGCTACTATAGGCAGACTATACTGGGGTCCATTCAATGAACTGTCAATACTGATGGAGCACGCGTAACGCGAATTCATTGCGGCTAGAATGAGAAATGAGAAGGATAGCGCTAGTCAGGGCAAAACATTGGCAAAACATTGTGGTGTGGTCCATTGTGGTATTTCCATATATGTTCTAAAGATTTTTGGTGAATATTTGTTTTTAGTGACGTTAAAGATTAGTTTGCGACAATTATGATAAACATTTTTATGCCGGACAGCCTTCAACAGCTGTTGTTTTATGTGATATTTGTTTAGAAATGGTTTAATCTTGCAGTGCGGTGAATTGTTGCAATAGACGCAGAAAAGATGCGAAAATGAAGTTTCACAGAACCTAGCCATCGAAGGGTTTTGAAAAGAAAACATGAAGAATCCAACTCAAAAGCAACAGGTATGTTCTTTAAAATATTCCCAGTCTAAGCTTAAGGTTTTAACTTTTCTACTTTTAAAAAAGATATTTATAATGATGAAGTGGGTCTTAGTAACGTAATTATTTTTAGAACAAACTTTGGCTATTGGTGAAGTAGTAGAAGTACCTGAAAATGGCGATCATGCTGATGATGGAAATATATTGGCAGCTGATCCGTCAAACGTAACACAAAAACTAGGATTTTTAGAATCAAGTGAACCTTCAAACATATGCAATTTAAGATAATTGTCTTTGAACTTTGTGTTTCTCATTTGTTACAACCTCTTTTTGTTTGTATGGTCAGATCACCAGTATACTTTGGGGATTTCAAAATTTCTGATTTAAATAATATGCAGCGTCGGAAGAGATTTTGGAAAACTGCTCATGAAACTGTTCATAAGTACAAAAAAATTAACAAGTACCTACAATCAGTGTAAAATTCGTAGACAAAGAAATAAAATAAAAAGTGTGAATAGTCTGGTAGATGAACTACTTAAAGAGAAGAGAATATCTGCAGCTCAGTCAATAGTATTACCTGAATTATTAATTACTTATGTTAAATACTAATTTTCATATCTTCAAATGTGTAAAGGAGAATTGATTGTTAAGTTTCATACATATGTATATATAAATAAATAAACTTGGTTTTTTAATTATAATTACGTTTCCAGGATTTTATCTCGTTCCAGTTGCCTGAATAACTTTTAAATCTTCTCTAAGAATCCTCGGTTTCCTATGCAATTCATTCAAGTCCGCGCGCTTTTTGCCCTGACTAGCTCCATCTCTCTCTCGGACCCAGCCGTTGTTGCCGCTTATTCCCCTATGATGCTGTACTCGTGGTAACATACTGTATGCGCCACCTAATACAGGTATTCACCGATGAATAACAGATCGTCTTTCTTTCCTCCACATGAAGTAAGTCATTATGCAATAATGAAGGTACCAAGCAAACAAAAACTGCGTATACATCCTATGAAAATGAATGTTTCCGTTATATGATAGATAGCAATTAAATTTAATAACCGCCTATAACTATCAGTTTTTCGACTAGAAAAAGTTATATTTATGTGTTGTAACATCTGCCTAATACTTGCCTTGTCGGTTCACTCTGAAAGGCCATGCGTTAAACTGTTGGGCACCCATCATAGGCGTACTATACTTGAAATTTATAGATCCGCCAATTCCCTTAAATCTTCTTACATTGAAAAAAATTGACACCTGTTACCTGTGCTTTTTCAAAGTGTGTTGAAGAAAGAGGAACAAAGGTTGCATTGATAGTGGTGGTGTAGCAAGTATATCTAATGGGTGATTTTTTTGCTAGTATCTTTTTGGCAACACTGTTTTTGACAGATGACGCGTGAATCGTGTCTTGTATCATTGTCAAACTTGTTCAGTTTGGTCTATAATTTAACCATGAATCGACTTACGAACGAACAACGCTTGCAAATTATTGAATTTTACTATCAAAATTCATGCTCGGTTAAGAGAGTGCATTGAGCACTGCTTCCAATTTATGAGCAATTTGGTAGGCCTACAGAGGGAGCTATTCGGAAGCTTCTGACTAGATTTCAAACCCAGTTTACATTATTGGACATTAAACCACCAACACGCAGACGTAGAGTGAGGACTGAAGAAAATATTGCGGCTGTATCCGCCAGTGTTAGTGATGACCGTGAAATGTCGATTCGCCGCCGTTCGCAGCAATTGGGCCACCGTTACTCCACTACGTGGAAAATTTTGCGACAGGATTTGGGTGTAAAACCTTATAAGATACAGCTGGTGCAAGAATTGAAGCCACACGACCTCCCACAACGTTTCCAATGTGGTGAATGGGCGCTGGCAAAGTTGGAGGAAGATACACATTTTTATCGAAAAATTGTTTTCAGGGACGAAGCTCATTTCTGGTTGAATGGGTACGTTAACAAGCAAAATTGCCGCATCTGGAGTGAAGACCAGCCAGAAGCATTGCAAGAGCTACCAATGCATCCCGAAAAAATCACTGTTTGGTGTGGATTATAGGCCGGTGGCATCATCGAGCCGTACTTCTTCAAAGACGACAATGGCCGGAACGTAACTGTGAATGGCGAGCGCTACCGTGCGATGATAACAAACTTTTTTTTGCCCACAATGGAAGAGCTGGACTTGGCTGACATGTGGTTTCAACAAGACGGTGCCACATGCCACATCGCACACGAAACAATGGCCCCATTGAGAGGCGAGTTCGGTGAACAGTTTATCTCACGTTTGGGGTCCGTCAATTGGCCGCCTAGATCGTGTGAATTAACGCCGTTGGACTATTTCTTGTGGGGCCATGTTAAAGGCTAATGTCTACAGGGATAAGCCAGCAACGATTGACGCACTGGAAGCCAATATTGAAGCATTTATTCGTGAGGTACCGGCCGATATGTTGGAGAGAGTGTGCCAAAATTGGACCTTGCGCATGGGCCATCTAAAGCGGAGCCGCGGCCAACATTTACATGAAATAATAATCTTTAAACATTAAATTATATCGACCGTTCTATCGACTCAAATAAAGATTTAATCGTTTTTTCAAATTTTCTGTGTTTTTTTTTTCAAAATCAAATCCTATACCTCTTAAAAAATCACCCGTTACTTCGAATCTCCTTTTGGAATTTGGACACTGATACACCATACTTGGAGGATCGTATATTTTTATCTTTGCTCTCATTCTAAATACAGATCGGAAGGTTGTCGATTATCGATAGAATTTCGTTCAAAAGCATGTGATCTCGCGGAATATTCGTATCCTTCTTAATGCTTCCGTTGTTAGGGAAACAATCAGCTTATCGTCTGAGATTTTCATTGCTCTCATAACGATTGATGAATTCAAATGTTTTGTCAATGATAGGAGTGACGTCTCTGAAGCTTACTCGTGGATCAAAGTACGTTCTATTTCTAGTAACCCTCAACTGATGTTTATTAATTAAATGCTTCGTTTAGTAAAATAGTAATATCGACGTAACTGTTCTTTGATGATTTTTTTTAAATTTATTCGCGTATTTTCCATAAAATCATTCGTATCGTCCAAAACCAGGAATTATGTTAGATTAGATAGATTAGGCTTTATTGTTTATTAATCATAAATATGACGTGGGACTGGTCTAATATGCCCAAATAGTATACATATATTAGAATAAATTAAATTCCTATGCAACAAGTACGAAATTCTGAATTTTCACACTACTATCATATTTCTTATCCGACCCTGTTTCCAGGTATCTGATTGTAAAGCCACTGCATTTTTCCAGCATGAATATTTAAACTAATAACAGTAGGATTGAAAAAGCACCTCATTACACATGTCGCTGTTTAATATTCAAATGTATGCGTTTCGAAACAACTCAAGCGCGTTAAACGGATTCGGAAAAAGTATGTCTTCTTGTCTTTCAACGCATCACGATGCTTATTAAAATCGGGTTCGTGTAAATAAATTCTGGCCTTGCGATACAGTGAGCTGGTGTGGATATACGGCATGTTACCACAACTAGGCAGCAGCGGTGGCCGCAGTAGTAGACTCTTCGGTCTTCTGATCAGTCGCCGTGCGCTGTGCGGGTTCGAATCCCGTCCCAAGAGAACTTTTTCTCTTTTCTATGGCTGTTGTGATTGTCCGTAGGTGGTAGACGGTCTCTGACTGTCGAACGCGGAGGTACCACCCAGCGGATCTCGTAGGCGGGGCCAGAATGTGTGCATGTTGCATGCACACGTGTTCCCTCACCAGAGTCCGTGTGGCGTTCCCCCTTTCCCCTGTATCCCCCTATAGGCCCACAGCTGATTTGTCCCCTACTACGACAAAAAAAAAAGCATCTTTGATGTACCTCGATCAAGTTTCATATGACTTTTCATTGGGATGTTATGAATATAATGTTCGTATCCATTTTCAGATAAATCCACCAATCCCAAATCGCAAATAACTGTTACACTTCAAGGCTAGTTATTTATGGTCTTGTAAATATGTAAATAATGTTTACTAGTCGGATAAATTAAATTATCGAAAAACTTACCGTTTTCCCTTTTCTACAAAAAAAATACTCAAATAATGTACCACTTGGAGGTACTCGGGAGGCAGGATGTCATAGTGAAACTCACAGGCAAAGCGGATGCCGGCAAATGGGTCGGCTCAGGTCTTCTTGTCATTATGCCATTGGTCGCTCGGGGACACGCGCACATGCGCCTTAGCCGGAAATATTTAATTGAATATTTTGTAAATAATGGAGATTTAGTATTTTCCATTGATTGAAAAGTAAATATTTAATGAATATTATAAAAATTTAATTCAATAAAAACATCATATTCCAAATGTTTATTAAATATTTGTTTACGATAACAAATACTTAATTAAGATAAAAATATTATTAAATACTTATCGAATAAAAATATTTAATGAATATTTCGTGCTACCAAGGGTCCATCATTCAGAATGAGCCAGGAATATTAGTTCAAAAACGATGCTCGTGGAATAAAAAATATCTAATACTCCTGAGCTATTCCGAATGTAATCCGGACTTCAACATATTCCTGCATCCGAAGTCGTCAACGAAACCCTTTGGTTATTTTTTTTTCGATATCCTAAATAATAGGATCTTAATAGCGACTTCAAAGGTGCAACCTTTTTAAGATTATCCTGCTTCGTTGTTTCTGTTTGATATTTTTTTATGCTTTCATCAAGTAAACGTATTGTGAGGAAGATAAATAAAAGACGTTATAGTAAATATTCATTTTATTTTACAGTCCACTGATATATACACAACAACATGACCAATGTAACATAAATATTGAAACAAATTCCTTAAATAATACACAGATAGACAGCGAATAATGTACAATCGATTTACAAGTAAAATATTGCCAACGTATTCTGTAACACCCTCTATCATTTGAGTCCCATAGTAGAAGAATGTTTAGGTTATGTGCTAAGGGTTGCCGTTATTCAAACATTTATTTTCTCAATTATTAACGCTGGCGCTTACGATGCATTTGTTACCTGGCCATACACACGACTGCAGTCGGTTTGCGATCATTACCATGTATGGCCTGCCTTAATACAGGCCCAAACAAATGCTTTATTTTGACGTTCTACCTTTGTATTTTTGAAAAACCCATTCCCTGAAACCTAGCATTATAACGTCTATGTTCAAACTGAAATGATAGACGGGGTACATTTTTTGGAAAGGAACATGCACAAGTCCTCTATAGAGAACATTAAATAAACTTACACCAAGTATGTACAATAATACTGTTCTCGTACAAAATATATGCAACTATTACACATACAGGTTAAAGGTCATTATTTATCACTACCGCGACTTCCGATTTTTTTTTTTTGATCAATAATTTATTTCGACTATTCTGTATATACATTTTTCCATAATACATTTACGTACCTTCACTTTTAACGTCTAGTAGACATATTCTTTGGTTAGATTAATTATGGGCAGGTCAGATCTGTTTGGCGTCATAGAAAAATATAAAAACATAATAAATGCATTTCATTCAACCTTTAGATATTGTTAGAATATCACTTCTATTCCTAGAGATGAAAACAAAACTGCAACCCGGCAAATGGAAGTGAGGTTATGTAAAATCTCAAACGTATCGACACTTGCCAAATGTAAGCATTTGTAGGTTATGACTACCAGCATACTGTCATTAAAGTCAATGTTTGCCAGATTGTCAATTGTATTTTTATTCGTATAGGAGTGAGATATTGACGCTCCAGTGCCCAGTAAAAAGGCTTGAAAGCGTTCTCAAGGTCAAACATTACAACCATCCCGCTTCTGATCTTTGACGTCAAACAAACTCACCGCATGTCATTGAACTTTATCAATGACTCGATCTTGAAGGTGGGCTAATCGAAGGTCCAGATGGCCTTGAAATAGATGCGTAAGGACTGAACCTATGGTGCAACGCAGTCGGAAACATAGCCTTAGGTAGCCGCAACTCCGCGGAAGTACTGATACTCGTTGGTGAAGGAGATCCAGAAGAGCTTGGGGTCGATGAGGGCGGAGGAGTAATTTGAGGCCTCATGAGCCCAGGATGCCACGAGGTAGCACCTTGTGGCCATAGCTGGCTCGGAGTGACCAAGGGGACTGTGCTCCGGTAGACTTGATGGCCGGAGTTTAACAAGAAAGCATGGAGTTCAGCAGGATTGTACGCAGCTCCTGCTCGGCCCCACATCTGGAGTTGGGCTCGAGCTTTCTCTACCATGGCTGCTGAGAAGAAAGAGGAAGCGTTGTTGTTCTCGGCGTCCAAGGGGTCTGAGCCTGTAGCTGAGTAGAGCCGTAAGGAGCTTCTCAGGAAGTGCTGGTCCATGAATAGGCTGTCCATTGGTTCCCTGAAACAAAAATAAAGATTGTTCAGCTCAAAGAAATTCTACAGCTCTAAGATTCAATGCAAAAAAGACAAGACTATGATGTACAGAAATCAGTTAAGTAGATGGCCTTGTAGTATCCGGATGCCTCATCAAAAAGAAGGGGGAAAATTGTTGATAATAACAAGGCATTTGTAGCACATTAAAATCAGATTTCCCCTTTTGGTAAAGATGTATAATGAAGACGCCTACGTGTTAAACACCTGTGACCTCAGTATGTTTTACCTACAGTATTTCAGAGTACAGCGTGTACAATATGAGCCTTGCGTAATTTCCATTACATGTATCATTAATTCTGTCAAGAGATACGCAAAACACCTTCTGATTTCCTCGGGCCACAGTGATGAGCTCTTGAGTATAACAAATGCCCAAATTTGTTATAATATTTCAGGAAGTTTAGCATCGTTTTGTTTTTTATTCTTCTAATCGATTGATGGGGCCCAAATCAATCAGATCGTCAGATGGTAGTCAGCTGCTGGTGCAGATAATTATTATTTTCCTAGGTCCATTTCTTGAATCTGGATACAAAAACCCTGACACCGTGACAGATCTGTCCAAAAACCAATGGGTACTATAAAAGTTTTGCAATATGACTTATCAAACGGTTGCAGGAGGTTGGATGTTACTGCATATCCATTGTCCATGAGTGCATAGTAGCCGCCATCAGCACGTCTGTTGATTTAGTTGTTCATTTATATTGTAAAGTATCGTAAAGTAATGAGGAAAGGGGCAGTTTTGCAGTATAACTTTATGCGTGGTTTATGCATAGGCCAGTGCTTAGAAGAAATGACGCTTGCATTAAAGAATTATTGTCCTCATCGTTCAACTATATTCAGGCGGTACAGTGAATTCCAAATTGGCAATTTCACTCTGGAAGACGCTGAGAGGGAAGGAAGACTGCTAACATCAGTAACAGAGGAAAACATTACTGCTGTGAGGAAAATGCTTGACGAAGACCGAAGAGTGATATGCGAGCAGATAGAGGAGACGTTACACCTTCATGCACGAACACTTCATTCAATTCTGCATGACCCTTTACTCTGGGTACCGCAAAGTCTGACGACGGAAGAGCAGAAGACTCGTACGACTTGGTGCCGAAAGATGCTGAAAATGTTTGATAAGGGACAATCTCGGTATGTGAACAGCATCGTGACAGATGACGAGACTTGATGACAGAAAATCCCGATCTGTTAAGAAAAAAATGATGGCTGTATTTTTTAAATCAATCGGGATTCTGAGGCGTGTCGTTATGGATACACAGAAGACAGTCACAGCTAAGTGATTCATGGAACAATGCCTGCCTAAAATCATGGAGTCTATAAAAAACCTGCGGCCAAAATCAAGAATGGACACGTGGCACCTAAACCATGACAACGCTCCAGCACACCGCGTCAAAGCCTGTACCGAGTATTTGACCACCACTGGACTGACACTTATCGAACGTTACGGTCCAGATCTTGCTAAGTGAAATTTGGCTGAATGGTTCAAGGACTGTTTTTGGCCAATGGAGAAGTGTTGAATGTGGTGGATATTACTTTGAACGAAGTCAATAAATAAAGCTGTATTGCAAAGCTTTTATAGTACTTAACGAGCGTTCCACTGGCCTCATAGTCGACATATTCTCTCCATCTCACGCTCATCGAAGATAGTCTGAAGAATGTGTATTAATGAAATGCGAGAAAGTACAGTCACCTACCGAACGGGAAGCCCGATAAGGACAAATTTTCTAGAGCGATCGGCCTCAGTGGCATCTTGTGAAATATAACGAAATAAACGACATTTATGAGATCTAAGCTTCCGACAAAGGCCCCAAAATACCTGTCTATTGCTTGCAGCCACACATTAAAACTCTCCTAAACCACAACAATTTCGCTTAAACGCCGGAACGGGCCGTCGATCTCTCATCTCCGCTCTACGTGATTGGTGGGCGTGCCGACCTGCAATCATTATCACCTCGGCAACTGATCCCTCGCCTCCCGTCTCACTCTGACACACGCCTTCGCTATCGCTCTCTCCTGCTTCCTCTCGATATTATTGATTGTCGAGGCGTCAATTCGCGCCGGGCCCCCGCGCGCGATTGCTACCCGGTCCGGCCCTGTAATTACGACGGAGAGCCGACGGCCGAGAGGCGAGTCAGGGATACGGTGTGAAATTGGAGATTGATATGGGTCAGTGGTATGGCAGTGGAGAGGAAACTTGGGATTAAAGAACCTTCTAATATTTTCGGACGTTCAGTAGTGGAGCCAATATTGTAGCCATCGGCGCCCACAGGAGTTTTTTCTTAGAGGGGAAGAGCGATTATCAATGAGAGATAATTTTTAGTGAAAGTGTACCTGCCCAACAACTTTATGAAGAGCGCCGCCTCCTTTTACTTTTTTATATGACCTCTCAAATTTGTATTTTTTTAAACTCCCTTATATTGTCAGGGAACATGATAGTCCCTTTTTTCTGATTTAAAATTACAGGGTGATTCATAAGTCGTGAGCAAAAATGAAACATCATACACAAAACGGCATTTTAAGGGACTTCTATGTAACAGTCTTTCCTCGAGGGCTTCATTAAAAAGATACGTTGATGTTTGAAAATGAAAAACATTTTTTTATATCTTTTTAAAGTCGTCCCATCCGGAAGAATGAGCCAATAAAGTGGTTGCCAATAATTCCTGCCCATACGTTAACCGAAAATTGGTGTTGGAAATGGGTTTCGGGTACGGCATACGGATTTTCTTCTGCCCACAAATGATTATTGTGAAAATTCTGGCATTTCGAGAAAAATTAGCTTCGTCCGTGAACAGAATCATTGATTCAAATTGCGGATTTTGTGTAATTTTTTGAAGATACCACTGACAAAAGGTCACACGCCATTGAAAATCAATGGGAAGTAATGCCTGTACACTTAAAATATGGTAGGGATATAACAAAAAATCCACTAAAATTCTCCAAACAATTTCATGGCAAATATTTAAGTGTCTAGGGATCTTCCTCGTACTCGTTTCGGGTTGTTCTTTGATTATTACATTTATTTTCTCGGACAATAGAAAGGTTTTTATTTTTTTGCTCAAAAATGGCGCATCGAATGAAAACAATTCAAGAGAGATCATTTGTTTTAAATGCAACGGGAAATTCAAAAATAATTTTTATTTGACAAAAAATCATTGGCGTACCATTTTTTTCTTAAAAAATATCGAAGTCAACACCCGTACGCACGCCACTGTTGAAGCTAAAAATTAATTTTTGTATTGAAAAATATGCAACGTTATTAACTTTCACTACGTGCTAAATATCAGTGAAATATCTGAAGCGGTTCTGAAAATATTAATTAATTTCCGAGTTTTTGCAAGGAAACATTTTTGGACCATAGCTTATGAAGCAAACTAACATTAATTTTTCATATAGATTCACACCCTTAAATATTCGCATATCATTAAGGAACACCCTGTATAGGGTGTTCTATTTAAATAAATACAACTTTATTCATTAGCACTTTTCTGAGACAAGCGGTATACAGAAAATATTACGTGGAAAAGTTTCCATATTAGATAGACCTTGTAACTTTTTTATACAACTTTTTCTCCTAGGTCATATAAAAAAGTTGGAGGGGGGGCAATTTATAGCCGGACACACTGTACAGCCGCAAAATGTGATTTACTGGTGATTTACGAGTATTTACGAGCAGCTGCAAGGATTTGTGATTCATCAGTAATTTACGATCGTTTACTGATAGATTCCACATATAGCACATATAGCGCTGGCGCATATCATCCCATACCCGCAACACGTCTTGCCAGATTGAGTGATTCATCTCAAATTGGAGTCTGTTCCCACCTTGCGAAATACTAGAACCTTTTTGACAAGCAATTATCAGCAGGACACTCACGATTTGGTTTGCATGTCGGTTCACATAAAAGAGTGCTTGAGATCCTTAAAGTATTATTATGTTAGATTTTTGCCTAATCCTGGCAACCTGCCAGAAGCAGGGTGAATTACGATAATATTATCACACCGATGTTTCCTTGTTTATGGAGGTGTTCATGCTAAACATTACTTTGCAGTTTTACTAATATGTAGTACACTTTTTCAGTACATTTGTCCTGTCATTATTTAAATCCGTCGCTCAACCACAAGACAAATTGTCAGCGCCAGTATAATCACAGGAATAAACATTTTATAAATAAAATCACGTATAAGACTAAAACCTATCTTTAGTTTATATAGTGATTTATATAGGAATTAATAAGGATTTATCATGGTTTATGAGGATTTAGGGAATTTATTTGAATCGGTGAGATGAAGAACAGTACATGTCACAAATTGTACTTTTGAGAAAATCAATGAAAACTGTATTGTTTTAAAGCTGTTTCAGATACAATAGCTACTTGCATAGGAAAGTTCTAGCTCTTATTATTTCCGAACCAGGTAAGCACTTATTATTTTGAAAAAAGGTCACCTATTGAGTAATGCCTGCAGAGGGTAGTGGACTTGTACTGTTTTTCAACTCAAGCAAAAAAAAAGGTGAGAAATTGGCAAAATTAGGCCCATTTTCACCAACATTAATATTTGACGGTCCCTTGGACCAATGGGACAATAGCTTATCGAAATGCAATTTGACAGGAGCTGTCAAAGATCTCTAAATGTCAGTGATTTTTATTGAAATGTTGAATAAAGTCGTGAAAAAATGGTTGCCTTATTAATAAGGGTACATTATAGATGTAATATTATGTCTTTGTGCTTTAGAATTAGGATAACTTTCATAGTATTTCCAGTTTCTCAAAAGGCAGTCAGTTATGTAAATGGACCAATCAAAATGATAGAAATAATTGGTCGATTTTCTATTTGGTAGGATATTTTCACTGTTTTTGACGACTGTTCATGCATGGCAATCTAGTTTTGTCTGTATATCAAGTACAGGGTGTTGTACAAAATACGTACCTGTAGAAATGTACCGATTTTTGTTATTTTGCAAAA